GGGGGGGGGGGAGGTTTTTTTTATTCACATGAGTCCCACTCTCATGTGAGTATAGGTCAACAAGGGTGTCAACTTTTTTCTGACAAAGATGTTTAATTACAGATTATATGACAGAATAGATACTTGTGCTTCTGTCAACTATATGCAAATCATCATTTTCTGTCAGATTAACTAACCTGTTTGCGAATTGCAATATATTTTGCTTTCAGGTATAGGAGAAAGAGGGAAAAACTGGTTGAAAGAACTGCGATTTCACGCTTGCCAACTAAATGGGGTTTGTTTCAGGCTTACTGCTATCGTTCAAAACTTGATGGAATGGAGCATATTGCCATTGTAAAGGTGAAAACATTCCTTTCAGTAGCAGGTTAGGTTATTTCAATTTACCTATGTTTTTTGTCTCTCGAAATCTACAGGGAGATATTGGAAATGGACAAGATGTACTAGTAAGGGTTCACTCAGAATGTTTGACTGGGGACATTTTTGGATCGAGGCGATGTGATTGTGGCAACCAGTTAGATTTGGCAATGCAGTTAATCGAGAAAGCTGGTAGAGGTGTAATAGTTTATCTTCGGGGCCATGAAGGACGGGGAATTGGACTTGGTCACAAACTTCAGGCTTATAACTTGCAGGACAAAGGCCATGACACTGTCGAAGCAAACCTAGAGCTCGGTTTTGCAGCAGATGCACGTGACTATGGAATTGGTGCCCAGGTCTGTCAATAAAATAAAAATCTCTCCTGATTCATCACCAAATTTATTGATGAAAGTTAAGAAATCAACAATTTTACCAAATCTATTAATCTTGTGTTAAGTATCTAGAAGGATAACAAAACCATGAATTAATGTAGCACCATCTTTCGATTGTTTCAACAGATATTAAGGGACATAGGAATTCGAACCATTCGCCTGATGACAAACAACCCGGCCAAGTTCACTGGTCTAAAGGGCTACGGTTTGGCAGTTGTTGGACGGGTTCCAGTGCTGACCCCTATCACAGAGGAAAACAAGAGGTATCTTGAAGCGAAACGAATAAAGATGGGCCACATATATGGATCTGATCTACAAGGATCATTACCCGAACCCCTCATCAAACCAAGTATAGATGATAAACCAGAACAATGGCACCTGATCTGATCATTTTGTATAATGAGGTGCTCAATCCTCAGTATATAATTCAGAGTTGGGAGTCCATGTTCCTTTTTTCCCTGAATTTCATATGGGGTTTATTCAAACACTACATTCATCTTTCGAGAGATGCTACAGGTATAGAAATCTTTTACAGTTATTTTTTGACAGATTGTCATCTGGCAAGTATTCATTGGATGTTGTACACAACAAATTTAAACCAACCAATGCAGTGTTGCCATCTCATCATAAGCAATGCTTTCTATCATTTTCATCTGTACAATCAGCTTTATTCTTATCTTTCTGCAGCGTGCAATATCGATGTCAGTTCAATTTGACGTTAAACATAAGGCTGGATGATCTTCAACTGGGACTAGTTTCATCATAATGGTCTATTTGTCGTTTCGATAAAGATATTTTATACCTCATTCTTTTAGAAAAATAAATAAATGTTCGATTCAGTACATTATTACATCCTTCCTTACGCATATCCTATTTCAAGATATCAATTTACAGAATTGTTAATTATGTATTACGTCTATCAAAATTTTAAATCTTAACTCAGCCAAATGCCCTTCTTCAGTATTCAATGGTTAGGCACATTTTTGTCCTCTGTTTCTCCAGACTGCGAGTTGGCCTGGTTTAAGTAAAAGATACGAAAAATATGATAACAAATCGGTAAAATAGACAGGAGAAAATTATTTAAAAAAATAAATTTCATAGATTGAAACATAGAATTGTTATTCAAAATGACAAATCAAGAAGCAATTTCACTAAAAAAAACTCCAAATAAATGCTGCCATTTACACCAGCACTCTCTGATCCCTATTTATACAAAAAATTGGAAGGATTGGCTCCAATGAATTTTCAGTACAACTTTTGTCTCTTTATCAGAGGGATAGAATTGTTAGTAGTTGTCCCTGCACTGCCCAGACAGGATCCAGAAGGCACATTCGCAAAATTTAACATAGGTGTTGACAGAATTTTGGAAGATCCACAAGACACCATAGCATAAGGTTGTGAATTCATTCCTCTGGATGAAGCCATTTGGTTAAAATTTGATTCCGGTTTCTGAGCAGAAACCTCAGTTTCAGGGCCTTTGATCGAGACGGGTGGAACTTGGAAAGGTTGAAGTCGAGGAGGATTACGCCACCTAGGAAGCGATCCAGCCATCATAAGTGTCTGAAGAAGCGGCCCTGCTTCAACGACGGCCTGCAGGAGTTTCCCTCTCTGAGGCAGGGCTCGACGTGCGGCAAGGTTGTCTATAATCAACGAGGCTCGATCAACTCTAGGCATACATGGCGTAACCTGATTGGTCGAAACAGTTACATTAACCACATTGCTGTCTTGAACCAAAGGCTGATTCACAACCAAGTTGATGTTGGAGAGTTCTGGGGATGTCACAGCATCGAAAAGGGAATCAATAGGAGACGAACAACGGGACTGATAATTGTACGTCTCCGACAGACTGTTCGACTCGGTGATACTCAAATTCGCTTTCCCTGGTTTTAAGAGCGGACTATCGGCCTGAGCGAGAGGAACTGCAGGCAAATGTTCGGTCGGAGAAGTTAAAGGCAGAGACCTGTTAAGGTAATTCTGCAGATGAATCCTGGCTTCATTTCTTTCTTGGATAGCAATCTTCAGAAGTTGAATTAATTGAGTCACATATTCCTTATTCTTTATCATTTCTTCACTTGTTTCTGCTTTTAATTTCTCAAGCTCGAGAGTGGTATACAGAAGCTTCTGATTCAATTCATCAACGTTCTGCAAATTCAAGAATCAGTCAAAATCAGTAAGATAAATTCCTTAGGATAGATCATGAAATAGAAAAATCGAAGAACATGTACTACATAGTACTAAACAAGCAAGCATAATTTGTTCATTGGATTATACATCAAATGTGGATTTATTGAAATCCCAGAAGAAAATTTGAGTGGAATCTTTACAATGAAGGGAAAACTATAAATATGTCTAACCATAATCAGGATCATAAGTGAATTCTCTTCTTAAAAAAGAGAGAAAAAAAATCTTCAAAAATAAACAATTAAATGCGATTGAATCTAATGAAAACCCAGTTTGAATGCAATTTAAACAAACTTCCAAGTATCTTTACAATGAATCATGAGTAAAATGACCGAAAAAAGAGAAATTAAATGACCCACCTCTTGATAACTCCAAAGAGAAGCCATTTCTTCCATTTCTTGGACAAATTTATTTATTATTATTTTCAAGTAGCAAAGAAGAAAATCTTGGTAGGAAGGGGATTTCGTAGAAAGAAAACCTGAGATTTATATAGAACAAAAATGTCAAGAAAAGACAAGATAATATAATTTTTTTTTTCATAAAAACATACTCTGCATTTGCAAGTTTCTTTTCCCGTGTCAACATGATTATGAAATTATGAACATAAAAGCAAGCTGTTGCAAACGCGGTTTTTTCCGTTAAAAAAGGTATCTTTTCTTACCTTTTCAATAATCAAAATTGTCTATTTTAACTATTTAAATATTTTTAGCATGTTGGAAAGGGATGGATATAGGGTCCGTTTGGTAGTCATTTTTTTCAAAATGCATTTTTCTCTCTCTTCTTTTCAACCACACATTTTTTATTAAAATAATATTACACATAGATCAAAAACTTTTCCTTATTTCTCAACCACACATTTCACATCAATAGACTATTTTAAAATGCATTTTTACATAGAAATACCTATCAAACACCCCCATAATTTTAGCCCTTGTTCAGTTTGAATTAAAATTATATTTTTACTAGATTTTAATAAAAATTGATTAAATGCGTAAGTCCCATGAAATATTTGGTTCTAAAAATCTATATCGCATTTTAATCTACATCAAACAAGAAATTAATAAGTGAAGTTGGAAAAAAAATGATTTAAGAATGATGCGTATATTCATTTCATGTCGAGGGTTGAGTTCATACATGTCGCTAATTATTTCAATAATGAACGAGCTAGTCCTCTACAAAACTTTTAAGGTTGCACTAGTATTTTTGGCACATATACTAAATTAAGTTAAATCACGCGTGACATTACAAGTCACGATGTTTTATCTTTTTAAAAATATTATATAGTGAGTCAAATCTACCTTATTGAACGTGCATGCATATTTTACCAGATATGTAAAAGTAAGAATAGCAGAATCTCTCACCCCAAAAGAGGCGGGAATTCTTCTCCAATTAGTTGAAGAATTGGGGCGGGCTTGTCGAAGATGATCCCGTCTTGATGTGCTACGACTCAATAAATAAATAAATTGGGAAAAAGACGATAAATAAAGATGTAATCCCCATCTCAAGTTTCACTTTTGACATGATTTTTTTTAAATTTATTTTTATTTTTATTTTTTGGAAGAGCGGAAGATTTTCCTTTTTAAATTTTATATTGGCGCGGAGCCAAGGGAATTCTTATTGGACAGCATAACATAGATGACGTATGCCGTCTTTCTATTGGATGAAAGGAATGGCCGATCAAATGAATGTCAACACCGTCCAATTAATTCCCTCATTCATTTTAGGGAACTTTATGTGTAAATTTTACATTTCCCTATATGTAATTATTTTAATTAATATATTTCATCGATTAATTTGGAGTTGATTATATAAATTATTTATAAAACTTTTGCAAGAGTCTTTTGAAAGCATTCTTTTTCAACCGGTACAGAACCCTAAATTCACAGACCTCTTACAGAGGTCTCACACATGGTGGGGTCAAAATTTTTTTTATCATTTTTTATTACATCGAGCCCCGCAGTGGGGCTGACCTTTTGTGAGAATTCTGACTACAAATTGGAAACTCTTTGTCAATTAATATGAAAAAGAACTAAATTCATTTTTATTGTTCCATTTTTTAAGGAATGTTGTCCGTTTTACCATAAAAACATACTCTGCATTTACAAGTTTCTTTTCCCGTGTCAACATGATTATGAAATTATGAACATAAAAGCAAGCTGTTGCAAACGCGGTTTTTTCCGTTAAAAAAGGTATCTTTTCTTACCTTTTCAATAATCAAAATTGTCTATTTTAACTATTTAAATATTTTTAGCATGTTGGAAAGGGATGGATATAGGGTCCGTTTGGTAGTCATTTTTTTCAAAATGCATTTTTCTCTCTCTTCTTTTCAACCACACATTTTTTATTAAAATAATATTACACATAGATCAAAAACTTTTCCAAGGTAGCTTCAAGCTAATATTTTCGCTTTTATTTCCTAATGATTCACTCATATGTGTCGAGTGAAAAGTATATAAATAATAATAATAATAGTAATAACTAAAATTAAACAGAACAATATAAATTTGAACTTGAAGATTCACAACCGATAATTTTGATTAACAAATAAGAAAATGAACCATTGTTAAGGTGTATGAAAAATATAAAATTTGAAAAATATAAAATGAACAGTCAAAATGGAAAGCATTGTTAAGGTATATGAAAAAAAAAAAATTTAATCTTTACATTTAATTGATCAAAAACTTTTCCTTATTTTTCAACCACACATTTCACATCAATAGACTATTTTAAAATGCATTTTTACATAGAAATACCTATCAAACACCCCCATAATTTTAGCCCTTGTTCAGTTTGAATTAAAATTATATTTTTACTAGATTTTAATAAAAATTGATTAAATGCGTAAGTCCCATGAAATATTTGGTTCTAAAAATCTATATCGCATTTTAATCTACATCAAACAAGAAATTAATAAGTGAAGTTGGAAAAAAAATGATTTAAGAATGATGCGTATATTCATTTCATGTCGAGGGTTGAGTTCATACATGTCGCTAATTATTTCAATAATGAACGAGCTAGTCCTCTACAAAACTTTTAAGGTTGCACTAGTATTTTTGGCACATATACTAAATTAAGTTAAATCACGCGTGACATTACAAGTCACGATGTTTTATCTTTTTAAAAATATTATATAGTGAGTCAAATCTACCTTATTGAACGTGCATGCATATTTTACCAGATATGTAAAAGTAAGAATAGCAGAATCTCTCACCCCAAAAGAGGCGGGAATTCTTCTCCAATTAGTTGAAGAATTGGGGCGGGCTTGTCGAAGATGATCCCGTCTTGATGTGCTACGACTCAATAAATAAATAAATTGGGAAAAAGACGATAAATAAAGATGTAATCCCCATCTCAAGTTTCACTTTTGACATGATTTTTTTTAAATTTATTTTTATTTTTATTTTTTGGAAGAGCGGAAGATTTTCCTTTTTAAATTTTATATTGGCGCGGAGCCAAGGGAATTCTTATTGGACAGCATAACATAGATGACGTATGCCGTCTTTCTATTGGATGAAAGGAATGGCCGATCAAATGAATGTCAACACCGTCCAATTAATTCCCTCATTCATTTTAGGGAACTTTATGTGTAAATTTTACATTTCCCTATATGTAATTATTTTAATTAATATATTTCATCGATTAATTTGGAGTTGATTATATAAATTATTTATAAAACTTTTGCAAGAGTCTTTTGAAAGCATTCTTTTTCAACCGGTACAGAACCCTAAATTCACAGACCTCTTACAGAGGTCTCACACATGGTGGGGTCGAAATTTTTTTTATCATTTTTTATTACATCGAGCCCCGCAGTGGGGCTGACCTTTTGTGAGAATTCTGGCTGACAAAGTCTCAACTCCTTCCTTTCATTTCTATTAAAGAGAGAGTAGAGTGCCTTACCGCTTGACCCAGTACCCATTGGTCCCTTTGCTTGAGTTCCAAGGTAGCTTCAAGCTAATATTTTCGCTTTTATTTCCTAATGATTCACTCATATGTGTCGAGTGAAAAGTATATAAATAATAATAATAATAGTAATAACTAAAATTAAACAGAACAATATAAATTTGAACTTGAAGATTCACAACCGATAATTTTGATTAACAAATAAGAAAATGAACCATTGTTAAGGTGTATGAAAAATATAAAATTTGAAAAATATAAAATGAACAGTCAAAATGGAAAGCATTGTTAAGGTATATGAAAAAAAAAAAATTTACTCTTTACATTTAAATAAAGATACTTGTTAATGTGTATAAAATCATATCAAACATAAAATGTTGAAAATAGAAAATCTCTTTAAAATGCTCTAAAACCATTATACTATAAAATTGATTTATTATAACCATTGTCAACTAGAAAACCTTCTAGCTAGAAAATTGGAATACATTGCACACTCCTTAATTAATACCAAAAAATGACCTCTCAAAATGTCACTCTTTAAGGAAGTTTGTCTTCCTTTACTATATTAATATACTCACCATTATGAGTTCTCTTTCCATCCGATTCTTCCAAATAAGGATGGTAACGGATTGGGATCAGGATCACGACCGAGGAAAAATCCACATTCCCCGGTCCTTATTGTACCATTTAATTGCTTTTTACTTTCTAGAATATATTTTAAATTAAAATTATATATTTTAAATTAAAAATATAAACATTTTACTACGACCACACATAGTTTGACACAACCCAATTCAATTTAGTTCCAAATAAAATTAAATCAAACCGAGGACCGATAAAAGTCTTATAAATTGAAATTCGAACCAGTATAATTATGAAATCAAACCAAATCGAACAATTCGATTCATAATTTGAAAATCTATTTTAATTCTTAAATAAGTCCTACCATTTCTGAAAATTCTATTTTTAGAATTTAAAATTATCAGTTTTCCCCCATAACCACATTACAGTATAACTACACAACTTATATGTTCAAATTTAATTAGGAAAAATGTTCATATTTGGTTAGGTCAAAAGAATTTTAATTTTTCTTATATATAACTATCGAGGCATCAACCATCTTCCCCCATCCTAACTTAAGACGAGATTTTGCCCCAGCCTCACCTTGAGAATTGATCTAAGTGGGAAATCTCCACCACCATCCATTTGGGACGAGGCACTGAAGAGATCGAGACGGGTGAAATTTTTTGTCATCACTATGCTGAAATATAGTCAATGACTAAATCTAGTTAAAATTATATTTTGAAAGATAGTCCTAACCGAAGTATGAAATACGATCGTAAGTATGACCAGGATGGGAGCACTATGGGGATAGGTGAATTTCGTTTCTTTTTTTTTTTTTTTTTTTCCTTCTATTTTAAGAGGTGGGTAAAATTTTCCTTTTGAGCAAGCTTAACGGTCAGACTGGACGAAAATAATGAAGAGGGCTTGACTATGTTAATTTCTTAAAAGTTGAAGACAAAAATGTAACTAAATTAGTTAGACACAAGATCACAATTTTTGTGAAAAATTGAGCCTAAATATGCTATTTACCACTTTAAAATATGGTAACTTTCTATATTGTGGCCCGTTTGATTCACATTATTTGAAAAAAAAAAAATTCATTCTTAAATAGTGATTGGACATTATTTTAACTACACTTTTTTCAATAAAATAATATTAGACGCAAATCCAAAACTTTTCCTTATTTTTTAACCACACATTTCCCATCAATACATTATTCAAAAATACATTTTCCCAAAATAATGTTGCTCGAACAAGGGCTGTAACTGCAATTTTCTTTTGTCGTACTATTTTTCAATTGCACTGAAGATCCCAATTTTGCTTATTAACACATTTATCTTATTA